TGACTTCAAAACTACCTATCCAGCAACAATAAACACAACTTCTAAAAACAACGAGAAACAAAAAATGAAAATCTTGAGATTGTGCTTTCAACATGAATATGCCGCCTAGAACATAAAGTAACGTTCTTAATCTTGAATGAAGCCCTATCACTAAGATTATTTTTAACAGAAAATATGTTCAGAATTTTAACCTAGGAACAATTTCTATCAGTGACATCAATGCCTCCATGACTCTAAGAGTATATTGCTGAAAAGGCATTTAAGTAGCTCGTACAAATATAAGGATCTACCCTAAGCTGCCAGTAGCAGAAATAAGTGAACAGATCTGCTTTGCAGATGGCACGGTCATAGGAAGCACCCTATAATCCCACACAGAACCTATTAACTCACAGGGTATATTACAGCATAAAAAAGAAGAGTGTGAAAAATAACTTTAAGGTTTCAAGCCTGAGGAACTGAAAGAAAAGTATAGCCTTTGCAAATTAGAAGGTAACTGGAAGGCAGTGTTTTATGTCAACATAATACTATACAAGGGGATGGGTACAGTGGCTCACACCTATAATCCCAGCACTTTAGGAGGCCAAAGCGGTTGCACTGCTTGAGCCCAGGAGTTTGAGACTAGCCTGGCCAACATGGCAAAACCCCATCTCTACAAGAAATATAAATATTAGCCAGGTGTGGTGGCATACACCTGGGGTCCCAGCTACTCAGGAAGCTCAGCTTGAGCCTGGGAGAGGGAGGTTGCAGTGAGCCAAGATTGTGCCACTGCACTCTAGCCTGGATGACAGAGCAAGACCATGTCTCAAAAAATATATATATATGTGGATAGATATATATCCCATAACTAAAAAGAGATTTACTTGGAGTCAGAGCTGGAGATGTTACTCTTAAGAATAATCCTCTAAGAATTCGAAACCTGATCTCAGAGACTATGAAGAACAGAAAGTCAAGAGAGCATCTATGGAGACAACCATGATAAAGGGTTCCCGGGCAGGTGTAAAAGGAAGCACAAATAAATCGCAGTCTGAAAGGCAGGTGAAGTAGAGATTGAGAAGAATTTAGTGTCACTGAAGTCGAGAAAAGGTTTTAAGCATGAGTGGTCGGCACTAAACTTCTAAACTCCTTGAGGGCAGAAATTCTTTCCTCTCTGAACATAACAGAAGCCCGTAACACAGTACCTGCCACACAGTATGCTCCTGACAAATACTAATACTGTACCCTTGCACTGCGCCTGCCGTGCGCCAGACACTGTTTAATTGCTTTATATACATGAATTCATAATTCTCACAGCAGAAGGTGCTATTATACCCATTCTACACACAGGGAAATTGGGTCATCAAGCATGTAAGTACTTTTCCCGAACTCCAGAGCTAGGAGAATCTGTGCTGTAGAGACCACTGGTTAGATCTGGTTAGAACATGACACAGCTGCGAGCAAGTTCAAGGCAGTGCTAGAGAAAAAACTCAGATTGCAGGAGGTTAGAGCACACTTGAGGTACCCACCAATTCCTCCCTGTCCACTCTCCTTTTGTTAAAGATATTGGCATGGCCAGTTTAAAACGTGTAGACAAACCTAAGTCTCTTCCTCATCCATTTTTCCCATTCCCCTCTTTCCCCACCCCCCAGCCAGCTAGGCTAGAAGTAGAAACGTGACCAATTGGATTCTCTCTCTAGAAACAGAATTGAGACTGGAGATGTTTGCTGAGACCCATGTTACACAGTCAGTGAGTCTAGTGTTGGCATCATGGCAAACGAAAGTCTCATGAAAACCAGTTTTGGGGAAGTGGGAACCAAGAGCTTTAAAGAGAAGGCCGATCTAAAAGAAACTGGAACAGACCTGCGGTGAGTAGCAGAGACATAAGACCATAAGTGCTTCCAGAGAAAAACTAGAAGAGTAACTGCATGAAGACGTTTTGGTTCCCAGAACACTGAACTGGAATCATGCAATGCACTTCTGCAGCACTGTATGACACATGCTTTTTTTAAAGTAGGCTAATTGAATTGGCTTTTTGTTCTTTGCAGTCAAAGGACCCTCAAACTATTACAGGAGATAAAAATAAACAAAAACACAGAGTAAGCAGCTACTATGTGCTTGACACTAACTTTCTGCAGTGGGTATGAAGAAAATGAGGGTCATTTAACAGACCTGACTCCCAAATCCAAACTCTTTACAATATACCTCATTTGCACTCAAGTAACATCCTCATCCAGGCCTCTACCCCACTTATTTTACTTCCCAAGAAACATTTTCAGGCTATTCTAAAAATGTTAACTTTTCTCCTCTTACGATGTCCAGTCTCTATACATTTCAAATGCCTTTACTCCAGACGGTTTTCCTTGTTGTTTTTGGAGACCGTCTCGCTCAGTCGCTCAGGTTGGAGTGCAGCGGCATGATCTCGGCTCACTGCAATTCCGTCTCCCAGGCTCAAGCAATTCTCATGCCTCAGCCTCTCGAGTAGCTGGGTTTAGGGTTTTGAGGTGTGCACCACTATATGTGGCTAATTTTTGTATTTTTTTAGTAGAGACCGGGTTTCTTCATGTTGGCCAGGCTGGTCTTGAACTCCTGGCCTCCTAAAGTGTTGGGATCACAAGCGTGAGCCACCACGCCTCGCACAGAGTGTCTTTTTAATAAACTTTTAAATTATTTATGAAGAGGAGAATCAAGACATTTGGATCTTTCCAGTCTGTTTTGAAATGGATGAAGCATTTTTCTTTCTCTTCCCCATATTACCAGCTTATTGACCCTTAACTCACGCCCAGGCTAAACTTAGATCTTTATTCATCTGTCCTCACCCTTCAATCCTTCCAAGTAGTTGATTAGTAAAAATGCAAACAAGACAGAAAAAAGAAAAACAGAATAAAAACAGTTACCCTATCAAAAGTTAGAATTACTTTTGAAAAACCAAATACACATGCTAAATGTTTGAAACCTTTGCCAAAAAGTTATGAAGACAAGCCAAAAACATTATTTTTCTATTTCTGAAAATTAGTTTGCTAAGATGGAAAGAGAAGAAATTTCTTCTAATCAACAGTGGTATCCTTTGCCAATTCACAATGAGAGATCTTCTGTCTTTCACATTTTTGTTAAGAACAGACAGACTTCTTCTACCTATTTATAACCGGCCATTTCTCTACAACGGCCTTTCGTATACTGTCCAAATTGGTTTGAGCTCCTTTTCCAGACAGTAAGTTCCTAAAATTAAAAAATTAAAAGTTCCTCATTTTTCCAGCCTCTAAAGGCAAAAGAGGACTTCTCTAGCTTCTAGACTTACCCTTGGATTTCAGGGGGCTACAGAAGGCTAGAGAATTTCTCATTGGGGTTCCATGTCTTAGGCAACTTACTATATCCTCAACAACTGCAAAGTATCACTGGCCTAGGGTACACTGCTGGGCTGTCTTCAATCTTATCCACAGTGCCATTATGCAGGCACATACACTAGTCACTAGGCCAGCGTGGGAGCCCACTTCTTCCCCGATTCCCTTACATTCTTTGACCTTTCATAAACTACTGGTACAGCTACAATTAATGGTGACATTCACTGTTCACCCCGGGTCACAATTTTGTCAGAAGAAACAACAACAACAAAATGAATAATCAAGGTACCATTTGAAAAAACTGTGTGTTTAAAAAAAAATCATTAAACTGGACTATTTTAACTGACACCAATCATGCTAGGCACTGGGCTGCCATTCTAAAATCATGACATAAAAATACTATCTTTGCATTACTGAGTACCCCATTTTTCTTAGTACTCTATGTTTTGAGTATTTTCAAACATAATGAAATCACAACATAACATTTCTAAAAAAGTGGGAAGAGCTAAGCAAAACAAGCATTTTGCAAGCCATTGAAAGCTGAAAAGAGAACAGCAATTAACTATGGTTTGTACTAAAGCTATTAGATACGTGTCTCAGCACTCTTTCTCAACATGAAACTCCGTAACATCTAAAGCTAAACCGCATCCAACTTTATATGGTTTTAGAAGACAGAGAAAGCGGAAAACAAATGTAAGCCGGTAATATGGGGAGGAGAAAAAAATGTTAGCTTTTACTGTCGTTGTCATTTATTTATTTTTTTTAATACTTCGGTTACATCTACGTATTTTTTTTTTCTTAATAAAGTGGCTTAGACGCCTGGATTAATAGCAGTACATCCAATCCATTCGGAGTACTTTGTGGCCAGCTGCTAAGTCATTAAAAGCCTAGGAGGGTATTTGACAGCGAATCCATATATCAATACTGTGAGGAGCCGTTTGACGCCTTCCGTTTCTGTCACAAGATCTGAGCAGCGCCTGCTTCCAGGGCTCCGGGGTTCTGACAGTGAAGGATGCTGTTCGGGGACAAAGTGTAACGTCCTCCTCCGGCTGCAAATGCTCCTGTGCGCACACCACGAACACACACTAAGCACGCGCACCACGCACACGTCTCTGAAGACCACCCCGGGGATGAAAAGAGCCTGTCACTAAAACGGGCGGCAGCTCCATCCCCACCGCAGGGACCCCAGGAAGACGCTTCTCCAGCCCGAGCACCACCCTCTACCACGGGCCCGGTGCCTTGGGCTTCCTCTCTCGGCCGCGCTCCTCCCGCCCTCCTCCCTCCGCCATGCGAAGGCGCAGCTCTCCCGCGGCCCCGAAGCCAGAAGGGGAACCACGGAAAGGCGGAGGGGTTGCGGCGACAGAGCCGGGCCCGCTCCATCCATGCTGGCAGCACACCCGCCGCCACCCCAGCTAAGCGCAGCGTTCGCTGCGGGCTAGTCGGCGCCCGGCTCACCTGGGGGCCGCAGCCTCCGCAGCTCACGGACATGTCACCGGCCGCAACGAGCCGAGAGCGAGCAGGGCGAGCAGGCTGGCCCCGTCCCGCGCCGGCCCCCAGCCCTCCCCCCTCCCAGCCCCGCGTCCCGCCCTGCCCACCCCTCGGCTTCCGCCGCCGCTGCCGCCGCCGCAGCCGCCGCAGCTCCGGCCCGCAACACCGCCTACTCTCCACGCCTCCCACTCACTCTCGCGAGAGGAAAACGCGCCTCTCGCGAGAAGAACCCCGCGGCGAGCCCGCGCAAAAGTGGGTGGGCGTTTAAAAAGGGAAAGAAGGAACAGGAAAAAAAGCCTCCCCACGTGCTCCGGAGCAGCTAGCGGAGCAGGCCCGCCGGTCACATGACCTAGAGGCGGCCTTTCCATTGGCCAGGACCTGCTCAGCCGTGGGAGCTTTAAATTCGAGGCTGACCTACGAACCTGCGGCGGACGTCTTGCGCGCTTCCTGGTCCGTTGCCTTGGAAACGGCTTAACCCTTTCCTCTGGCAAGTCCCCAGGCCTTGGCTTGCTCCGCAGGTTTGCTTTCAGGCTCTGTCTCTTTTCCGTCGACCCCTTGGTCTTGCCGCCTGGGGTTAGCTGGGCTCCTTCTTCGCCACAAGGCTAGTTTTGCTTTCTTCCGAAGCCCCAAGCCCTTCCCAAAGTGGCAGCCCCACCAGATCTGACTGCCCAAGGATGGGCCATCCTTTCTGATGGCTCCGCCCCTTCTCCCAGCATCTCCAGGGAGGACTACTCACAGCGCCCAGGGCCTCCGGTCCTATCCCAGCCAAGATTCTCAGGGCCCTAGTGCACCCAGTAGCACCAGGATTCTCAGGGCCCCTAGTGCTCACTCTGATGTCTTTACATGATACGGAAATCAGAAAGTAAAGCTTTAGTCACTGGGAAGCCTAGCCAGAGATGAAAAGCTATTATGCTGATTATTTTCACCTAAAATCTGAAGGGCCAGTCCAGTCAGATTGCCCTGTCTCCTCGAAAGCATTTTTCAAGAGTGCAAACACCTGGCAAGGAGAAAGACATTTTTGAGAGTGTCCTGATTATGAGTTAAGTTTGGCCCTGTTCGGAGGAGAGGGTCAGGGAAGAAAAGGGTGCATTCATTTGTTCTTCATTCAGCAGACACTGCTACACGCTGTCTATTAAGCAATGATGACGACAAATAGTGTAGCTTCTAGGGAACTTATCTGAAGGTGAAAAGAAGGGGAAAAAATCTGTTGGTTTTAAGCTGTATGCAAAGAAGTTACAAGAAGTGACCAGATGGTGATTGAGTGGCTAGTAAAGGGGCTGCCCTTTTGAAGAGGAGACCCTTTAGCAGGGATTTGAATAACAGTCATGCAAAAGTCAGCGTAGAGCATTCCAGGAAAAGGAAAGCACGAATTCAGAGGTCCTAAATAAGGACCTTTTCTAGTGCATTTGAGGGAAGAAGAAATGAGAAAGGAAACTTTCTTGATCCTGGAGTTGGAATCTGTAAGAGTTAAGAAAGAAGAAAGTAACACAAAAAGCCTCTTAACAAAGCCAGGTTTATCTTGGAGAATAAAACTGAGAGGGGCTTCTGGCTGACTTCGGTCAGGAGCGTTCTCTCTTACAGACTAAAGACATTTAATGATTTAGGGAGGGAGAGCTTATTGCAGGCATGGAATGTTTCTGGGTGGAAGAGAGTTTTATTGCCGGGGATGGAATGTCTGGTCCAAGGGGAGTTTATCTCAGGGCTGGCATATCTCTGGTCAGAGGGGAGGTTATCTTCGGGCTGGCATGTTTCTGGTAGAGAAGGGTTTATCTCTGGGTTGGAATGTTTCTGGTTGAAGGTGTCATTGTGGTTTATGGTCATGCTGATATTAGCCGTTAGGCTGTTTTTAGGGCTGGATTTAGGCGGTTTTTAATCAAGGGAAACTTAAAATGGCGGTACTTGTCCAAGATGGTGATGCTCCTGCTCTGTTAGAAACTAGCATGGGCCAGATCCCGTAAGGCTTTGTTAGCCAAGAAAGGGATTGAAAATTTATTCTAAACGCAATAGATGATATTAGAGGGTTTTTAATAGAGGAGAGACACCCAGAGTTTACTTTTTTTTAAATATATATTTTTTATTGTGTTTTAGGTTTTTAAAAAAATATCTCTTCCTTGAAAAGAATGGGTCTTAAAGAGGCCAAAGCAGAAGCACGGGAGATTCGGCGACACGTACCCCAGGTGGGAGACAGTCATGACATTTCATTTCCAATGATCACTTCTAAAATCCATTCGGTCAGAGTCCTGCTGCTGTTTCCGCCCTTGTTAAAACACATGGATTTCTCCTCATTACTAGGAGAAATAATTGGATACTTTTCTTTTGTTATCTGGGTGAAAACAAATGGCTGAAAAAAAAGCGCCCACCTATAATTTTTTTCCCCTCCATTACGCTACGCTGACAACCACCTCTTCTATTCTTAAAGTCAGTTCTAAGAAGAGGACAGAAAATCAAGTTCTGTGCAGATACTTATTCTTTAGTGTAGGATTTGAAAAGATACAGGTTGAAGGCTGGGAAATGAAAAGGATGTTTCACCAAAAGAAACTAATCAGGAGACAGGTTTCAATTCGAAGCTCTCTCATTAGTGATACAACCAAATCAAGGTTCCTTATCACCACTGAGTCTCAGCTTCCTCATACATAAAACAAAGCAATTTAACCACACCTGAAGTGGTTGAGCCTGAATTACACTTTAACATGCACACATCAGTAGGACGGAAGCTTAAATGAGAAATGAAATGATTTTTTATGAAAACCTAGCAGAGTCAGCAGCTCAACTCAAAGGAAATTGGACACACACACACCAGCTGAGGAACTCTGAAACTGGTTGTTACAGATACCAGGAATGCTTCCCTAAGAAACCTTGGCCTTCTCAGAGTGTGAAAACGGAAGCACTGCCACCTGCCCAACCTCGTATTCCATTTCTCTGAAGCTATTTTCAACCTATGTAGTATTAAATAAATAATGATTCACATGTTCCTAATCAGGGTTTAAGAACTAGATAGAAAATAAATTTTTTAAAAGGTCTGAGGCAATATCCTAAAGTTAAGCAAACTCCTTAATTTTAACTAAAGCAAGATTTCAAGAAACATAGAGCTGCTTTTTAAAAGGAAAAATGCCAAAAAGAGAAAAAGTACTATTTTTACAAACTAGGACCATTCTTTTAAAATGCGCATTGAGTACTTTTGAGTGTTCACGGCCCTCATAATGATTAACTGAAACAGCTGCTCGGTACTGCTAAGGTAGCTGAACTCAGGCTCAGCTCTCCCAATCGAACATGTATTAACAGAGCCCGAAATAAATCCTCCCATCTCACCCTAGCAAGACAGTCGTTGTGGTCTCTTGTGCTAGCTACAGTTTACAATACAGTTAATAGAAAGTGAAGGGAAAAAAATAGGATTGAGATCCAGTTCTGCTGTGACCCTGGTTCCTGGATTCTTTTTAAAATTGTATGACTTTAACAGTTTTATTGAGGCATAAGCCATATACCATACAATTTAATTCCTTTGGTAGATTTACAGTTGTGCAACCATCATCAAAATCTAATTTTAGAAGTTTTGTTCCTCCCTAAAAGAAACTTTGATACCCAGTAGCAATCTACTTTATGTCTCTAAAGACTAGCCTATTCTAGCCATTTCATATAAATGGAGTCATACAATATTTGATGTCTCACTTTGTTCATTTAGCGTGTGTTAAAGGATCATCCGTGTTGAAGTGTGGTTCTGTACTTCATTTTTCTATTGCCAAATAACGATTCCATTCCATGCATATAGCACAGTTTATTGAGCACCTTATCAGTTGACAGACATTTTGGTTGTTTCTACATTTTGGCTATTATGGATAATGCTGCTTAGGATATTCCTATACAAATTCTGTGTGAATGTTGCTGATTCTTTTTAATACTCTAAAAAAATCAGAGGTTCTATTTATGCTGTTGACAAAGTCCATATTCCTCCCGGCACCATTCCTTTGCTTCCAGGCTTTGTCTTTTTTGCCTGTTGGTTGAAGTATGTGCACTGTCCCAGAGGGTTGCCATTTCTACCCAGGCAAGTCACATCTGGCCATGCTGCTCCCCTGCTTACAACCTTTCACAGCTTCTCACGGTTTTCCTCATAATCTGCTTTTCTCCTTTGCTCTCGTATCATTCTCCCTTTCAGACTGTTCCCTTCTCAGTTCCTCAAAATCAGACCAGACCCTGCCTGCCTTATCACTTTCCACAGGCTGTTTCTTCAGGATCCAGTATTCTTTCTCTGTCCATCCCGGTTAGCCTCCGAATGCCCGAGAATCCTTCAGCTTTCAACTCTCCTGTCACTTCCTCAGGAACTCTTGTCCTATCTCCCCAGACTAAGTAAGTTCCCCTTTATTTAGGACTCCCTACTTTTTCTTCAACAGATTTGTCAACTTATAACAATTTTTTTTTTTCGAGACAGAGTCTTGCTCTGTTGCCCAGGCTGGAGTGCAGTGATGTGATCTCGGCTCACTACAACCTCCGCCTCCCAGGTTGAAGCAATTCTTCTGCCTCAGCCTCCCAAGTAGCTGGGACTACAGGCGCACGTGCCACACCCAGCTAATTTTTCGTATTTTAGTAGAGACGGGATTTCATCATGTTGTCCAGGCTGGTCTCAAATACCTGAGTCAGGCAGTCTGCCAGCCTCGGCCTCCCAAAGTGCTGGGATTACAGGCGTGAGCCATCATGCCCAGCCCCCAACTTACAACAATTTTTATTTATGTAGTTACCTGATTAATGTCTGTCTCCCTCCTCCACTAAACTGTAGGATCCATGAACAAGGGCTGTTTCTGTTTTTGCTTAGGAGTTACCGGCACATAGTTTCAATAACTATTCAAAAAAGGAAAGGGAGGAAGGAGGGTGTCTTACCAGACTATTCTATGTTTTCTTTCATTTGTATTGCCAGGAGTCCTCAGTAAAGTCTTAATAAATGTTACAAGCCAGATCTCTGCTATGCTAAGGGCAATGAACGGCAAGGCATGTCCCGTGCTTGGGATGGTACAGCACGGGGAAAACAGGTGTCCCCTGTTCATGCTCCTCACGGAAATGGGCTGGGGAGAGGAGAGACCAGTGGCATACAAGGAGCCAGGACAGCAGGCTGGCAAGTCAGAGAACACAGTCTTTGTCTAAGAGCATGCGAGAGAGTGCCTGGGAACCCCTCATGTGTCTCATAGGGGCATTTTAGTGGATAATATTGGTGTCTCCTCCACTGTAATTTTGTAAGTTAATGGAAATTTTTTTTTTCCTTTTTAGACATACTGTAATAGAAACAAGACATTTGGGTTATAGGCATATGAAAGAATTATGACCCAGCAAGGTTGAATGATTTGTTCTATATCACATGGGGCACTAAATGGAATAGTTCAGACTAAAATTAGCTAGTTCAGTCTGATCCTACCTTTCAACAAAACTAAGCCTACTGCACAAAGGTAGCCTCTGCGCTTAATAATACCCTTGGTGACCTTCTGAGTACAAAGGCAGGCATCATCTTTCCCCAGGAGCTTTGGAGCTTTACTGTAGCAACCTTTGACGGCCAGGAGCAGATTCCATGTCGCTTCCTGTTTGAAAACTTGAGTCTCCCTTTGGCCCAGTTGCTGAATTCCTGCCTGAGTGATATTTCCTGCCTGAGTGATGGCCCAGCTGGTGGCTCACTTGTAAAAGTGAGATGCCAAGTCCTTTTCTACATAGTTCAGTTTTGGGATTTTGTTTTTTATTATTGTGAATTAATACACACATTATGTAGAACATTAGAAAAATACAAGAAAACAATGGAGCAGACCAGTTATTTGGTGGTTGCTTTACATATATTATTTAATTTATTATTATTTTTTGTTTGTTTGGAGACAGAGTCTCTGTCACCCAAACTGTAGTGCAATGATCATAGCCCAGTGTAGCCTTGAGCTCCTGGGCTCAAGTGATCCTCCCCACTTACCTCCAGAGTAGCTAGGACTACAGGTGCATGCTACTGCATCTGGCTATTTCTTATTTATTTGTTTTTTTGTGGAGACAGAGTCTTGCTGTGTTGCCCAGGCTGGTCTTGAACTCCTGGACTCAAGCCTCTCAAAGAGCTGGGATTATAGGCATGAGACACTGCATCTGGCCAAATTTATTAATACTTAATAAACTAATGTATTAATAAAACATTCTAAAAGGGGAGAAATGTGGAAATTATAGTTTCATCAGCCATTTAAATATGTAAAGTTACTTTTTAAGTTCAGGAGGTAAACTACCTCTTTCATGCCTTTGGTTTGAATCCCTGCATATTATATCACAATCTACTCTATAGTTTATAACATACACACTGTCAACCTTAATGAGATTCAGAAAATGTAATTCAGTATAGAGTTTATTTGAGCATAAAGCTTGAGGATGAGAACCTGGGAACAGCAATTCCAGATGAATGGGGTCAGCATTCCAAAGTGGAGAAGGTTTCACTTCTATAGGCTCAGAGAGAGAAATTTTAGCAGGATTATCACATTTTCCACAGGAGACGAGTGTGTTACAGCAATTTGATTGATTGTTTATAGATTGCTACATTCTAAGGAAGATGACTTCATTACTCTGTGAGGAATAGTGATCAGAGAGGGTCTTATATCTGGTTTCTTTTGATCTTCCTCATTATTTATAGCAAAAAAAAAGAGTAAAAGTTGCAGCTCCATGCCGTGTGACTCAAGCTACAGAGCTATGTTCCTCTCAAGGCACAGAAAAATTTAAATTTCCAACAGCTTCAAATTTAAATGATTTAATTTCACAGCACTTACCCAATTCATTTGTAGCAAGTGTCTTTATAAGGATAGAGACACATCTTAACCACTGTTAAAATGATACCTAGTGATATTTTAATACCCAGTGGCACTCATTAAATGCTCAATTAATTCTAAAATCATAGAATCATAACTATACTAATTAGTGAATATAGTACAAATGATAATTCAGAAGTGCCACTCCAAATTAAGCACTTCCTGAACAGCAAAATCAATCTGAGTGCTATTATATTTTATACTCAAAGATAATGATCCTTCTGAGTTAAATCAGCCATAGTTACTGAATTATACTTCTAATATGTCAAAAACAGATGTACCTTCTTTTAAGAAAATGTAATATATAACTGTCTGAAGTTCAAAAACAAGTAATTATGCCTAAATGTAATTACTTGATAAAAGAGTTTCTTTAAATA